TCATTCGATCACCGAAGTTAAGCAGTGTTGAGCACGATCAGTACTTAGATGGGGGACCACTTTGGAACAGCGGGTACTCCAAGCAACCTCCTACAATCCGAAATCTATTTCGGTTTTAAATAACTCACAAAGGGTTGATAAACTGTAAAAAAATCATCAATCAATGTGTGTATGTGTGTCTGTATTTACAATTCATTTAAATGAGTCTGTCTATTGTCTGTTGTGATAAATATGGCGACAAAGATGAGGACAAGAGTCCGAATCATGTAAATAATGTTCATTTAAATGAGTTTTATTAAATTCAGACGACAGAGTGTACTCAACTTTTTAAAGGATTTTTCCGACTTTTCCGTCAACTGTTGTTCACCAGGGTCAAAACTATGGATAAACGGTCCAAAGGTAATGTTTTTGTTCTGGTATAGTTCAAATATTTTCGACCGTACTTAAATGTTGTCAGTCTATAGTATACACAAGTTTGGTTATCTGCACATCGGCAGTTTTTGCCTCATTAAATGTTATTTTTAAATATAGGTGTATCACGTAAGAGACATCTTGTGCAGGACGGTTTACCGGATTTTAACAACAGTCAGTCAGTTATGTCCCATGCACGATCCACATTTAGGCGATCATGTATCTTTCGATACATGACTGACGAGGCAGATTTTTTTTCTCGCAGTAGGTTGCCATTTCTTTCTGCGGTAGACCAGTTGACATCCAAGGCTATAGAACCTGGCTTGTCCTGTTATTTATTTACCAATATTTTACCCATAGCTGGGGGAGAAGAAGAGGATTTAAACATTTCCCAAGGTGAATGTAATACATTCGAATAGAATTCGAATTTGACTCTCCGATTCCTCAAACAACAACGAAAACGAATATATTTAAATATTTTATACACACTGCGTTTAATGGGTGTCAGTTATCAGTTATCTCCTGTTAATTCCCCTCTCTAAGTTCTCCACTGCCTTAACCGGGTATTGAACTCACACTCTTTGGGTCCTGTCACTGGATCCAACTAACGCCTTTATCCACTGTGCCACTTGTCCTTGAACATGTCACGCGAAACTAGAATAGTCTACCCCAGTGAGTGAAATAAAGGGTTCTGTTCGACATTCCAACCACCTGAAGAAGCCCGGGGCGTACAGCGGCTGAAACGTAATATATATGGCGACAAAGATGAGGACAATACTCCGAATAATGTAAATAGTGTACATAATACCTCAACACAGAAATATAGGCAGATACTGAAGGTAACAGACACGTAATAGCATATTTATTTGTTGTTAAATAAACATCATGGGATAAGTAATAGCATATTTAAATAAATTTCTCAGCGTAAAACTGAATTGAGAAAAGTATTGGTGTGATACAAAAAAATATGGAAAAAGTGTTGCAGACATCGGATTTTGATTTGAAAATAAAGCCACAACAAAAGCCTGCTTGTTCGAAACAGCAAGTTTACTTCAAAAAGTATTGAATAAACCCTGTCAATGAAAAGAAGTGATCTGTTTATTTTCTTTTTATTTTCACGTGTGGTAACCCGAATAATAATAATAATAATAATAATAATAATAATAATAATAATAATAATAATGTGACACATGAGGACATCAATAATTGCACTTGTAGTTGGAGCCCTCGGATTGATTCGAAAAGGCTCCGATAAACTCATTGAAGTGATCCCAGGTAGCCCATGCCTTAAAAGATTCCTGTGTAACCCATGCCTTAAAGAAATACAAAAAATTGCACTCACAAGTACAACTCACACATTACGAAGAGCTTTATTTATGTAAAATGTGTGGGCAATTAGGTTTTCTTTCTGTTTTATTTATTTATTTATTTTATTTTACAAAACTGATCAGTGGAAAATATCATGAAGCCATTTCTGTCCTTAGGTCTCTGGTTGGGAGCCGGAAGGAAATGTGTATACAGCAGAAATCAAAGGAAATAATAATAATAATAATAATATCTGTCCTGCTATTTATCCATAGCTGGGGAGAAGAAGCGGATTCATAGCTTTACCAAGGATATTAGCACATAAGTGAATGCAATGGATTCGACTAGAATTCGAACTCGGCTCACCGATTCCACAATCCGAGCCACTATCCACTACTCTTACATATAGCAATATAGTGAGATCGTAGTAGAATTATGCATGATAGAAGCTTTTATTTAAAAGTAAAATGATAATTTAAAAAAAATAAATAAATAAAACAAAAAACAAACAAACAAAAAAAAACCCAGCCAACCTGGGTCAGTTTGTTCTGTTTGATATATGATACACCTGGAAAGATTTTTCTACAAGGCGACAGTGTTTAATGACAGTGATGTAAATAAAAGCCAGTCTCTGTCTAGACTTCTGTGGCAAAATCATGAACAGAAGATGTCAGAAACCTGTGTTTATTCATATTATTCAACGACCTTCAAATGCAGGTCAAAAGGCTGTGCTGATCAGACAAGACTATAGACCATATTTTGAATGCTGAAACCAAAAGAAAGACATCACTCTATAAAGACATCTGTTAGAACGGAAATATTCTTTTTTTTTATCTCAACAGATGACACATCTTGATAAACAAAGAATCGTTCGTATACATACACAATAAACGTTTATGTAAATTAAAACTTTTTTTTTTTTATCATCAATATATTTTTCTGTTTGGATATCTGTCCAATCAAGTTACAAGATGGGGTATTTTTTCTTTAGTCGACAGTGATGAACAGCACTACCTTTGTTGTTTGGATAATTTTTTTAAAAATCGGTATCAACCTAAGCAAGGCAATAAAACCCCTAAGACGTAAGTATTTACAGGGTGTGGTAGGATTAGGAACAGAAACATTATTAATGAGCGGGAAAAGAAAAGAGTAATCAGGAGGACACTAGATGGCGATTGACATTGCATTTAAATTTTTGCAGAGTAAAGTTGGCTGGAAAACATGGAGCCGGAAGGGAGTTCCACAAGCGAGAATTGCGAGAGAAGAAACTGTTAGCATAGAACTTACGGCTACATCTAGCCAGCTCAACTGTAAATTGATGAGATGTCGACGCCAGATTAATCAGTCATTTATGTGCCATGTATCTTTCGAGGCAAATTTTACCCCGCAGTAGGTTGCCATTTCTTTTTGCGGTAGATCAGTTGCCATCCACGACTATAGAACCTGGTTTGTCCTGCTATTTTACCCATAGCTCAAAGAAGAGGATTCATACCTTTCCCAAGGGTATTAGCCCGTAAGTAAAAGTAATGGATTCGACTGGGACTCGAACTCGGCTCTCCTATCCTCAGTCCGAGCCGCTATCCATTACTCCAACTGTGCTTAAATTCAAATTTTTTAGGTATGACAGCGAAGAACTCATCCGTACAATTGCTATGAATGTATTTATAGAAAAGACACAGAGAGGCAACCTTGCTGCGGTGGGAAAGTGACTGAAACCGAGATGCCAGATCAGTACCAATAATATCACTGATTCTTCTTTAAATTTTATCAAGGAGTTTATATTTGGATCTGTTGGTTCTCCGACCTTCTTGTTGTTGTCGGAATTTCTGCGATGAAGTGTTGTCATTTGTCGGCAAATAATTTGTATAAGGAACTTCATCTCCATTGTTTTTATCACAATAAGTAATAAATAAGTAAGAAATATTGCTGGTATGTATATAGAAGTTTATGAAGTAATACTTTTAGAAAATTCTCTCCTGAACGTGGTAATGTAAAAATGCACACACACACACACACACACATATACATACATATATATTTATTTATTATAATTTTTTCATATAGACATAAACAATTTACTTATGAATCATAACCATTTTGGTTCTCACCAGTCGAGGTGCAACTAAATGCACCGAAACGAAGTTGCATCTTTGTAGTGAGTAAATTGTTTTTGTCTAGATGAAAAAAATAATAATAAATAATTATTGTTCTACTATCGGTATTGAGCTCACTTTTGAATTAATGTCGTGAACGTTAGAATTTATATATTATTTTCGTTCTCATTACATTGGGATATATATATATATATATATATATATATATATATATATATATATATATATATATATATATATATATATATATCATTCCTCATCAGTAGCGGGACTCAGAGTTACAGGTACAACGCAATCTTCAGGTGTTTATTAAGAACTGACTGTTACATAATTTTCAATTTCATAATATATATATATATATATATATATATATATATATATATATATATATATAATTTCAGTGTTCTACTGTGTATTTGCTTTTCTTTTTTCAGTCTTTTTCCGGTCTCTCGTCCTGTCGGCTAAGGCTTCAGAATACGCAGACTGCACCTCTGCAGAGGGGTAAAACCAATGAGGTGTTCTGGGTCTGACGAAAAACTGCATCTGGCAGTTTCCAGTTTCACTCTGACCCGGGGTGGTAGAGTCCCAGATATGGGCCAATAGTTAACCCCCACCCCAAACTGGTGTCAAAAGAGTATGTAAGTGCAAAAATAGGTTTTTATAGTCAAAATATCAGTAATACATTTTTGAGAAAAAAAATTTTTTTCCAGTAATAGATTTTTGAAAAAAAGAAATTTTATTAGTAATATATTTTTGTAAAAAAAAAAAAAATTATTAACAGCAATACATTTGGCTCTTGACAAAACCCTTTTTACAAAAATACGTCAATGAAACCTGATCTCCAAACTGATTTTCTTGTAAAGAATACATATTCTGTTCATACGAGTCTATCCTAAAAATCTTGTCGGCATTAAATAACCCAATGAGGTGTTGATATGCCGTAAAACAAAATAAAACTCAACCAAATTCTCCAGGCTCGTCTTACTACCAAAAAGTTCAAATTTGGATCCATCTTTCCCGGGTACATTTTGATAAATTATGAATATTTTTTGGAAACATTTTATTTTGTTTTCACCATTTACGATTGACATAAGGGCGAGACATTTGATTCACATCAAGGTATTCATGACGAAAGAACAATATTTTCTAAAGTGAATTTAAGGTAAGTCATGATACAATTTTTTTCAGGATAGGTCGAAAGTAAAAGATTCTTCTGTTTTCTGGTTAAGTATAGGTATGTCCTTGTGT